GACTCAATTTCTTAATTTAAAATTAAATATTAAAAAACACACCTAAACATCAATTTTTGTGTGTCTTGTGGTATGTTGAATGCAGCACTGGTTCAAATTAGATCTTTGTGATGTCCAAAGTCTATAGATTCGTATGAATTAGAAACTCAAATTACCGATATTAACAAGCTAGAATATAAAATAAGAAACTCCTATCTTTTCTATTTGTCAAGAAATCAGATAATGTTACAGATACAGTTAATGTGCATACAAGAACACGAAGACGCTGAATAATTCCCTTGTAGTGATCTCATGACTCATGAGCCATAAATGGAGGCACGGGCGTAAGTACTTTGTTTTGATTTTTGTGTAATACAGTACGATTACAAAAAGTGATATACTACTACTTAAAACCAACTAAAGCTACAACACTTGCCTTCTGAGGATTTGATGTGAAAAATAACAAAGCATTTTCATCAAAGGTCTTAAACTTCAATGTAATAGTATGTTCGTAATATGGATAGTTCTTAATCTGGCGATGAATAGCATAACCACCACCTTTAAACATATATTTCGAAGCATCTACTTGTCCAGTCACACTGGAAAAAGAAAATAAATTCAATGTCAATGAACAAAATACATCTACCAGTTGGATTAAATAGAAATTATAAAATTATCTTGACAGTCAGTTCATCTTAATGACGTTCTGGGTTGGAAAATAGCAAATTGTTGGTGAAGGGGTTATATTAAAATAGCAAGAAGCAGGTAAAAAAACTTCATAATTATGAATAAAATAAAAATACAGTATACTAATGAGGAGTATAAAGATTAAACTAAAGCAATCAACATATTTTTAAAACCAGAAAGGTATTCCACAGGATTTATCTGAATAAATAGTTATCTTTATTTACAGCAGGCTTTTATTTCCATATCTAAAGCCTTTGATCTTGTATTGGATGTGTGAGACTCAAATAGTGTATTAACTTTTTTCTTGTTTTAGTAAATAACCAACTTCAAACTTACATTAAATGAGTTGCACAATGTAGTTGATTCAAATGTAGTGATAAAAAGATCATTAAAACAATTAGACCTTAGCTTTAGGATACACCAGCACTGAAATAAGTTGAGAAAAAACAGAAAATATGTGGGAAGGGAGATATAGGAGATTTATCCACTATTTTAAACTGATCATGAATCTAGGGCAGCATAAACCTGTAAAAACAATGAACACAAAAAGTTCAGTTTTGTACTTTGTTTGGATATGTTTACTAGTTATAAGTCCAGGTATACTTGGGTTGATGAGCCACTATTCAGAATCGTGTTTTACTATTACAACCTTTGTTGGTTAGGTAGTTACTGTGTCAACTTCGTTTTGTACTTTATTTAGATGTTTAAAACAAGTATGATTAAACAGATGTATTTGTACATCCATGCACGTTAATTTTAAACTATTTTACGCACGACATCTGACCATTTACAATAAAACATCTTTCGTAACATAAAACAGTCTAAGTCATCTCTTGATGCTTGATTTAATTCGTTATATTAATTTTTCAAAGCTTGCTTCATTTACTGTAACTTTGCTAAATAGAAACAAAACAAAACAAAAAACAAAGTATCGTTAGTTTAATTCCTGCATACACCCTGGATTAATGAGCTTTAAGCTAGAGAAAACTTGACTTACCCTTCCTTGCAGCCACTACAACCATAGTTGGTTATAAAATTCCACAGTCCTACACGGTTACCATCCAATCTGACTTCATAAAGACATCCGGCAAAAGATCTAGTCTTAACTTGTCCCGGGACCTGTTTAAAGAATAAATTGTAATGCTCTTTTAGAGACAGACTGCAGTAGATCAATTACAAAAGATTACAAAACTAGTTAAAGATGAATTTTGCAGGTCCTAATAAAGCTTGTCTGTTATAGTGAACAAAAACATTGTCTTACAATTTCTTTCACCAGCAGACTGTCCATTAGAAATTAGGTTTCATCAATATGTAACATTTATTTATAGATTACTGCTGTTTTATCAACCTAAACTAACAATTCAACATTTCTATCAGAAAAACAAAAGTTATATTTCCACATTTTTATATGTTTTATAAGCATCCTTTATTACGAAAGTAGTAACATTAGTTTTTGGCAAAAACAATTCTGAGAATCTGTTTAGGGGATTAAAGGGGCCAATCGGAGTTCTGATAATATGTTTAGCAGTCAGAATTCTGATAATCTGTTTAAATATAGCAACAAAATACGTGGGACAAAAAAGTTTGTAAATTAAAAAACTAACACTTTTGATAGGTGGATCTGTCTTCATCGGGGCAAGGATCCACATGTCAAAAGAGTTCTCGGGTTTTATTTTGCTTATTAATCTAATCATTTTGAAGTGTTGAGTAGTCAGTAAGGGCTCTGATAATATGTTTAGTGCTCAAGTGAACAATCAGAGTTCTGATAATTTGTCTAGTGTTCAGAATGGTTAATCAGGATTCTGATATGTTTTATGTTTAGAGCAGTCAGTCAGAGTTCTGCAATGTTGACTGTTCAGAGTGATTGCACAAGGTTCTGATAGTCTGTTTAGTGTTCCGAGTAGTCAGTCAAGGTTCTGATTATAGGTTTAGTGTTTAGGTAGTCATTACATTTGGAGTTCTGATAATGTTTGTTTGTTTGTTTTGAATTTCGTGCAAAGCTACACGAGGGCTATCTGCGCTAGCCATCCCTAATTTAGCAGTGTAAGACTAGAGGGAAGGCAGCTAGTCATCACCACCCACCGCCAACTCTTGGGCTACTCTTTTACCAACGAATAGTGGGATTGACCGTGACATATAACGCCCCCACAGGCGAACATGTTTGGTGTGACGGCTGAAAGGGCGAGCATGTTTGGTGTGACAGGGATTCGAACCCGTGACCCTCAGATTGCGAGTCGAGCACCCTAGCCACCTGGCCATGCCGGGCCTATTCTGATAATGTGTTTAGTGTTCGGAGTAGTCCGTCTGAATTCTGACATGTTTAATGTTCAGAATGATCATTGAGTTCCAATAATCTGTTTGGGGTTTAAAGTAATCAGTCAGAGTTCTGATAATTTGTTTGAAGATTAGAGTACTCAGTCCAAATTCTGATAAGATGTTTAATGCAGATCAATCAATCACAGTTCTGATAATTTGTTTGAAGATTAGAGTACTCAGCCCAAATTCTGATAAGATGTTTAATGCAGATCAATCAATCACAGTTCTGATAATATGTTTGGTGTTCATAGTAGTCAGTCATAGTTATGATAATATGTTTAGTATTCATAGTAGTCAGTCATAGTTATGATAATATGTTTGGTGTTCATAGTAGTCAGTCATAGTTATGATAATATGTTTAGTATTCATAGTAGTCAGTCATAGTTATGATAATATGTTTGGTATTCATAGTAGTCAGTCATAGTTATGATAATATGTTTAGTATTCATAGTAGTCAGTCATAGTTATGATAATATGTTTAGTATTCATAGTAGTCAGTCAGACTTTTAATAATGTGTTTATGGTTTATATTTGTTGTAAAAACCTTCAATTGGTTAATCAATAAGTTCACTGTGTGACGAAAATACAAGAGGTAAGTATAACTGTCTGATGAAACTCACAAGAGGTAAGTATAACTCACTAACTCAATGAAACAGTTTACTCTACTTCAATCGGTTAATCAATGAGTTCACCGTCTAATGAAACTCACAAGAGATAAGTATAACTCACTAACTCAATGAAACAGTTTACTGGTGAACTCATTGATTAACCAACTGAAGTAGACATTGAGTTAGTGAGTTATACTTACCTCTTGTGATTTTCATGTCTGATGAAACTCACAAGAGGTAAGTATAACTCACTAACTCAATGAAACAGTTTACTCTACTTCAATCGGTTAATCAATGAGTTCACCGTCTAATGAAACTCACAAGAGATAAGTATAACTCACTAACTCAATGAAACAGTTTACTTCGTTTCTTAGTTTAAAAAAAAATCATCATGTTTTCTTTCTCTGCATATCTGTCAATCTTAAAAATCTAGCAAAAACTTGTTAAATAATATTATAATTTCTGTTTTATATATATTTTTACCTTTTATTTCAACTCTTTAGTAGTGATTATTAAACTATAAGAGAAACATTGTTAAAAAGAAGACATTTTTTTTCTGTAAAAAAAATCTCTTATCCTAGAGGCAAGCCCCTGAGAGAGCAATGATGCTGAAAATCATAAAATTAATTACAAATAACTACTTTAGGTTTCATAGATTAACAGTTTATGATAAAAAAGAAATATTCAAGTGTTAAGAAGTTATTTCATTAGATAATAGCCTCAGAATTTAAGTTTTACAATAAAAAAATTTAAATCGACAAAAAAGGATGAATAACCACAATTTGATGAACAATGTACAATATCTTTAGTTTAGGAAAAAATTTCCAGTTGAGTTGTGGAACTGGAGAAAGTGTTATTAGTCTTTAATATTTATGTGATTGAAGAAGTCATCCGTAAGCTTTGGTTTTTATGTGTAGATATAACTAGGATAAACGTTGTTAAATTGGTTCTTATGTACAGATATAACTAGGAAAGGTGTAACTAAATTTCGCTATCTGTGTACAGAATTAAGAAAGCTGTCATTACCTCTGCCATTCAAGATAGATGGAGGTTATGTTTTCACCCTTATGTGTGTGTGTGTGTGTTTGATTTTTTATTCATTTGTCAGCAAGATTTCTTGAAAACAGCTGAATGGATTTGGACGATAGGTGGTACACATTTGGACTATGATCCAACTTAGAAGTGCTTAGTTTTTGGAGGGTCAAGGTCACAAAAATAAAAAAAAACCCTATCTGTTAACATGAGGACCAATTTTTACACTATTTTAGCTTTATAACTCAGTTGAAAATGATTGGATTTTGATGAAACTTGGTAGACACATGTAGAATATTATTCCCCATTGTCCTGCCAAAAGTGGTCTGTGTCCATTTATAATGATGGACATATGGCCACATTTTCGTATTTTTTGAGAGGCAAATATGATCAACACTGTATGGCAGAGGTATGTACTCTACTGAGTGCCCCTATAGTTACTTTGGTTTTATGTAGAAATACAAATGGGTACAGTGTCATTAAACTTTGGTTTTTACATACAGAAGTAACTGGAGAGGGTGTTGTTACTAAATTCTACTATCTGTGGGGGAAGGTGTTATTAAATTTCAATGTTTTTGTACAGTTTCTTCATTTGTTTATGATAGCACCCACCTCCGACTATTTGGCTACTCTTTTATCAAAAGATAGTGGGATTGAGCATCACACTACAACACCCCCACGAACGAAAGAGTGAGCATGTTTGGCTCAGAGTTTCAATTTCACAACCTGAATATTGCAATTCAAGTGCCCTAACCACCAGGATGTGCCAGTCTGTGTTTCGACAGAAATATGACATGCATGCAGTCTAAGCACTGAATTATATACGAGTACCTTTACGCTAGATGGAATTCCACCGATGAAGAAATGAGATGAGGAGTTGAGGCTCATCTTGGTGAACTCCAATGATGAATGCCCTTGAACTTTGTTATGATCTGGTTCTGCTTTCTTTGATGCTGACTTTACTGTTAATGTGGCGAGATTCCCAATTCTAGAAATAGAAAAGAAAAACTTTTTTTGATTTAGTATCACATAAAGACCTGATAATCATATTTACGAAAAAGCTGCAAAAAAAGGAATAAAACAATCCATATATCAAGATGGTTTCTTAACGAAACTTTCTTCTGGAAAACAAAAGATACCATACATTATTCATTTACACATGTATATCAAACAATTTTGTTGTACTCAGGTTACTTTATAAAAAACCAAGAGCTGCAGAATTTTATAGGTTACTTGTTAAAACAAGTATCAAATATACAGTTCCCTGTCAAACAGAACTTTGTATATGTATTTAAACACTATTCCTGTCGAGTTGAAATAAAAAAAAAACATTCGTTAACCATACTGAATGTGCTCATATTTTGCATAGAATAAGATCCTGCTTTATGTTACAATTTCTATTTCCAGGATACAGTTTCATGATTATCAAGAGCACCTAATATAATTGAATAATATAGTTGTAAGAACAACTTACTTGCTCACCTTAGAAATATGACTGACCTGTTTCTTTCTTTTACACACCAATAAATTCTACAGCTTGGCCATTTTGTATCATAATAAAGCCATACTTCAGGAATGTGAAATATGACTGACCTGGTTCTTTCTTTTACACACCAATAAATTCTACAGCTTGGCCATTTTGTATTATAATAAAGCCATACTTCAGGAATGTGAAATATGACTGACCTGTTTACTTCTATTATATACCAGCCTGAAGTATGGCTTTATTATAATACAAAATGGGCAAGCTGTAAAATTTACTGGTATATAATAGAAGTAAACAGGTCAGTCATATTTCACATTCCTGGAGTATGGCGTTATTATAATACAAAATGGCCAAGTTGTAAAATGAAATATGACTGACCTGTTTACTTCTATTATATACCAGTAAATTTTACAGCTTGCCCATTTTGTATTATAATAAAGCCATACTCCAGGAATGTGAAATATGACTGACCTGTTTACTTCTATTATATACCAGTAAATTTTACAGCTTGCCCATTTTGTATTATAATAAAGCCATACTCCAGGAATGTGAAATATGACTGACCTGTTTACTTCTATTATATACCAGTAAATTCTACAGCTTGGCCATTTTGTATTATAATAAACCCATACTCCAGGAATGAGAAATATGACTGACCTGTTTACTTCTATTATATACCAGTAAATTCAACAGCTTGCCCATTTTGTATTATAATAAAGCCATACTTCAGGAATGAGAAATATGACTGACCTGTTTACTTCTATTATATATCAGTAAATTCTACAGC